CTAATGCACCATTTGAGTGAAAAAAAAATTGTTAAGGAAAAAGTTTGTTAGTGAACCCTTTGTTAAACATTTCGAATATCACCACTGTTTATAATATGCCTGTAATGGTGATCACAGTCAAATTGGCAACTAGGGAGTTTTTTATTTTGTGTTATTACTAAATATTGGAAGAAATCATATTAATAAAGTGTATTGTTTCAAAATATATTTTAATATAATAAAAGACAGAATTTGTAATTTGAAGAAGGTAAGATTATGCAGTTTCATTGAAATGTAGCAGCATTCCTTCTGATGTTACATTTGTAAGTTTCATCTTGTTTAGCTGCAAAACACATCAATTTATTCTTGATTATTTTTTTTTGAGATAGATGTTATACATGTTGAATAAATACAACAATTTTGTCATGTATATATTCTCTAGAAGATAGCTTTAGATATTTATAAAATGTATCAGAACATGAGTCAGACAATAATCAGAAAAAATGTTTCTGAAATTGTTAGTGATGATAGTGAAGAAATAGTTTTAGTATAGTTCAGTTGTTCCATAGTGGAACAACTAAACTATAGAATTCTGACAAAGAAGATGCAGTTGCCAATCAGGATCATATGAAGAGACAATTTCCATCCATTACTAGGAGAAGAAGTAGATTGTTGGAGTAGGCTTTACCATGGAAATGGGAGAACATCAATGGAAGTATCATATAATAACAATTTTTCAGTTGATGGAACAATGTGGAAGATTTTTGATGCACTGCTTTTTGAGTATACCAGCACTATATTCCTATATTCATATTTCAAGAAGATATAAATCATGTAATATTTTGTGAGAAAAGGGAGGACTGACTGCATATACACAATGTCATATAAATGAAAAAGTAGTGTGAGCTTGTAGCAGTTATTTATTGACTGGCCAACATCACATAAAGGTGTATTGGCTTCATCACATAAAGAAATGCACAGAGGCTGAAGTGAAAAGACGGCTTCAAAATAGTATGTGATTGATATCAATGGCAGAATTGGATACATTTTCAACAATTCTATAAGTGTGTGGAGTATGTGGTGCCAAAGGTATGGAAGTTGACAACTGATGGTCAACCACATGGGGTCTTTTCTTCTTCTGAAACAGCATGCCATGAGACAGATTTTAGAGATGCAATAAGATTTTACAGGTTTGATCTAAAAATAATGCCATCAGAGAGGTTGAAAACTGATAAATTTGCACTTCTGTCTGAATTATGAACTGTTTTATTGAAAAGTGTACAATGTGGTACAGGCATGGTCAGACCATGAGCAATTTTAGTAGTAAAGTTTTAAATAGCTATATGCACCAAATATTAATAGAAAATGATAATGTATTCCACTCTCTATCAGTGCTACGTAAAAATAATTTATTTTGTGAGTATGTGCAAAATAAATTTTTTTTACATAATGCTGATAGACAGTGGAATACATTATTGTTTTTGATGAGCAACTTTTTCAACAAAGACATATTATAGATTCATGCAGTATATGACAAATAAGCCTGACAAATTTGGAATAAAGTTTGGTTAGCAGTGGATGTAGATTCCAAATCTGTTCTGAATGCTTTTTCTTTTATAGGAAAAGATGAATTACATCCAACAGATGAGAGTATTTCAGAGAATGTGATGCTGTATGTTTTGGAATCATACCTAAACAAAAGAAGAAATTAACTACTGACAATTTCTTCACTTTGTTCAAATTGGCACAGAAGTTACAAAACAAGAATATCACAATTGTATAATGAATTGCTGTTGTAGAGAAATTTTGCCTCCTGCAAAAGATCACAAGATGACTTACATTCCATGAAAGTCTTGCATTGTGGTGATAGTCATTTAAACAATGTGAAAAATGCAAAAAATATGCATGTGCACAGTCTAGAATTTGACTAGAATATGTATGGAATATTCTAAATAGTTATATAGTTTTATTAATTTTTTTAAATAAATAAAATTCCATTTCCTGCATTAATTAGTTTTATTTTTCAAGTTATTGTGACAAATGGAAATAACCACATACTCGTAACTGAATGCCATCTTTAAACGAGAGTTCAAAACTCCTCAGGTTAGAGATAAGTTGATATTCCACAGTTCTAGTTTTAATGAATTTAATGAGGATTTTTAAACTTAAAGAATTTTTAAAGCACTTTATGATGATAATGAATGAAAAGAAGATTGTCAAATATTTAAAAAAAAAATTATTTTCTTTGTGAGTTCGTCATAAAATCCTATCTCTCTCCAAAATAATTATTTATTGATTTACTAGAAACCAATTCCTTCAAGATCCCTTTATATTAAACGAAATTAGAAATTTATTCTATGCTATAACATTATATAAACTTGTTTTTTTTTAATTATAAAATTTGAATATAAAATAATAAAATTATAGTTTCTTATGCTAATGTAACTATATATTATTTTTATAATAAATTTTTGGATAGTAGGCCTAACACACACAAATAATACAAATTTTTATGAATTATTATGATGTTAATTGACAGCAAAGAATGAATATCTGACCAACAATATGATGTATTTATCATCATTATTACTTAAACTATTTTATCTTTATTGAATATCTTGGTCTTATAATTTTTCTATATAGTTAACACTAAAAAAATTTTAAGTACCTCATGCTTTTTTTGCAGTTTATTTTATTAGACTATTCAAGGAATACCTGATTAACTCTAAAACTTTATTTTTATTATACCTTCTTTTAAATTTGTTAAAATGTACAGATAATGTTTATTTTCTGAGAATAATTACCTCCATTTTAATGCAGTTATTCTATTGTTCTACCATATTGTAAAGGAAATAGCATATTTGTAGAAGTGCTAAATAATAAATGATAACATCTGTTCACATATTTTTATTATTTGAGTTTTTCCACCTTTCCATGAGTTTATTAAGCAATCCAAATAAAAGTCCTTGATATAGAGTCTGAAATAAAATAGAGGGTATTCCTCCCAACCATTTCATTGAAAAATTAGAATGTTTTTCTGATTGTTAAAGAAATAGAATAGACTTTACTATACTACAGAATAATTCATTTCTTAAAGAAAATTGAATCTCCTCCAATAAATGGATGCTATAATACAATTTGGTAGTGGTGTTGAGTAGTTTCATGACTAGTTATTACAAACATTTGTCAGTATGTACTGTACATCACTATTTGACGAATATTCATATTTGTCATGTCTGACTAAGGAACTTCTAATTTGAATTATTAGTGATTATAACTTCTGGAAATCATGCTTATCATTCAGATGCTTTGGATTATAATAAGATGTAATTTTTTGACATTTTACTATTAGCACTTAGGACTCTTTCATGTATTAGACAATTTATTACATGTAATTATTGTACTTTCATGTTGTATGACATGAAAGGAAAATAATGTGCAATTTTATTACATTACCATGTTTCCAACAAGGCAGTGAAGCTATGTAATCCATGTTATCATTTCCAAAGGTTCTGTATACAATTTTCATTTTGAGCTATAGTTTTTTTTTTTCCATAAAATAGGTTTAAAATTAATGCATTTCATTTAAGTACAGGAAAAGTCCTAATTAATGGATTTCAGGGGAATGAATTCTCAATATTATTAATTAGAATATTTTATATTTGAGATTATCAGAAACTTCATTAAATTTCAAGTTAGAATAAAAATAAATTTTATGTATGTTCTGCAATATTCTGTTTAAGTTAAATAAACATATACAAAACTTAAAACACAAGAACAAAAAAAAAATGTTTTAAACATAATGAAACATACTACAATATATACAAAATTATATAAAGGAAAGCTGTGAAGCTTTAGATATATGGTTTGAATGTTGTATATAGTATTATGAACTCTTGGCAAAAAAACAGTAATATTTGCTTGACTTTCTTACTTTTTGAGTTATTTAAATGCCACTGATTCCATTTCAAGAAATATTTTTGTCTATCTGCTTTTTTTGATGTTTGGATGAGCATCTCTAATGTATTAAGGGCAGTATTTATCTCAGATATTTTTGGCAACTTTACTGGCAGAGCTGCCTCATTTTCCTCTTCCGTAGTATTTTCAACTTGAGATAATGCAGCTCCATCAAAATTTAGTGGAATGAATGTGCAATTTGATAAAGAAATATAAATTGTCCTCTCTGTAAACAAAAACTGGTCTTTAATCACCATCGATCAAGTGTTTTGAATGCCAAAATGGAGGACAACACGTAAAGTAGAGATTGCACAGTTGGTATTGAGGATATTGAACTTATGATGGTGTTTGTCTCATGCAACTAAATGCAAAAGTGAGGATACGAGAGTAGTAATACACTGAAATGTGTAATTAGTAAAATAAAAGTTGTTTGATAAATCTTTTCCCACACTTGGTTGATATGTTAATTAGACAATATTCCATTGAATTAATAAAAAGTACTTTAAAGAGGATGAAAAATACATATAAATAAATAAATAGAAAATGGTCAGGACCTGAAGAAAAGTTTGTTAATTAAGTTGGTTTGTTATATAGGATGTTCATTATTAGTACTTTTCATGTAGTATTGAGACGTCATCAATTAGTAGTCTGACTATAAGTTTCTTTTACAAAGCATATTGTTATTGATGAAACTAATAAATTTTGTTTAAAATATTTTTCACTTATGCAAATTTTAATAAATATTTTTTAATTAATCATAATTTTCACTTCTTTAGGTCTTTTAAATATAATACAATGTGCCAGAAGCAAAAAAGTATTGTGTAATATTGTTAGCAAAACACAGTAATTGGAAGTTGATTGATATTACAAACATTTAATTTATAAAACTATAATTTATATTTTCCTATTTAGCTTATAAAATTCAAATTTATTCTTAAAAAATGAATTTATTTCTTATTCCAATTGATTATTTGATTTTATATTTTCTTTTCATAAAATTGCTTTTAAATATTTGATTTTTGTTATAGATTAGAATATATTTCTAACGTTTATTCATTTTGCAGAGTGCGGACTACTTGGCATGCCTTCAGTAAGATTGTTGCAGAGGGGGGGATCAAAGGGCTGTGGAAGGGTTGGGTGCCAAATGTACAGAGGGCAGCTCTAGTCAACTTGGGAGGTATGCCAGCAGCACTCTCTTCTTAAGAATTAGAAATGAATGAATGTTGATTTATCATTTGTTGATTGAATCATAATTATGTATTTTACTAGAAATGAAATAGATAATTCTTTTTTACTAATGTTTGTTTTGATTTCAGAACTAACAACATATGATACAAGTAAGCATTTAATTTTGAAGCATACAACACTAAAAGATAATTATGTAACACACACATTAGCTAGGTATGTATATTTTGTTTTATTTTTTGTAAGAAATTTATGCATATATAATTTTAGCATTTATCTGTATGTCAAGCTGTAATCTATCTTTTTCAATGAGCACAATGTTGTGTGTCTGAGATTAAACTATGATTCATTGATATGATACATATGATCTATGGCAGAAGTGACACAATACATCTAATACAAATATACACAACCAAAACCCTATATATTAAGCAAATACACACTCACAACTGCCCACTTATATCCAAATTTAGGTCGATCATTTATGGCAGTTGTGTGTATTTAGAGTGTGCATACAAATAATGATTTACAGAAATAAAGACCAATTTTACCATATAAATATATTAAAACTAGCTGTGTTACCCGTCATTGACGGGCGATACTTATTTCATGAAATTATATTTACTTACCTAAAGAGTATATCTGCAGAGAATTGTTTGTTACAGATTCATAATATTCTCATTAAAGATGTGGAATATTTTCTAGATAAACTTATTGAATAATCTCCTAATATACAACATTTTATGCTTTATTATCAGGGGTGCAAATAAATAGAGATTTGCAGCTACTAACATGTGAGCATGCAACATAGAGTTGGCCATGTGAAAAGCAACTGCATCTGAGATCAAGTGCTGCAACTCTCAGTCTTTGGCCTTGTGACATGTTAATGGTCATTGTAAAGCATAGACTGATTGGAAATTGTAGGCGTTTAAATTCGAATGAGTAGGTTGATGCTATTAAATGGTAAATGGTATGCTATTAAATGATATATCTGTCTTTGAATTTTGAATGTTGGTATGAAATTTCTTTCAAGTATTTCAGTGGCACCAAAACTTGTCATCTGGAAGGCACTATTGTAAGCCTTAATGTTCTTTAAGAAATGTTTAGTGTCAGGATGAGTCCCATTTAATAGTGATAGACGAGGCTCAGGGGGACAAGAACAACATCCAGTATAACTTTGCCAGAAGAGCAGCACATCCCGTAATTCATTCTTCCACTTTAGAACACTGCAATACTCACATACTTTATCCATAGACCCACTATTAGCAGATAATGAATAGTCTACAAGAGTGTCATAAATGAAGGCACTTTGGAGCTTTTTGCACCAAGGAATCATAGTACTCCTTGTACGTTCAAGGCGCACTCAGACTTGCAGAGTGGCTTGCCATTCTCTCTGAGAACTAAGCCTAGCCTATCTTGAAGATGGGTTCTCTGAATCTCTAGAGTCTAGACAGTCTTATCTGTTTACTTTTCCTTGAAGATTGGTCAAGGTTTTGTTGTTTCCGAGTAGACAATCTTTGCTCACACAAATAAATAAAACACATGCAAATATAGTTTGGCCTAACAAATCATGAACACAATACCCAACAGTATGAAAAACCCACCATATGTACTGTACATGTACTGCCATCACTTTTTTTAATGCCCTGAAGATTTTATTAATTAACTAATTATTTTTTAATGTCAGTGCTTCAAATATAATAGTAAATTTCAATAATACACCTTTCTTATAGATAATCTCTTGACAGGAAGTACTAATTTGTGTGTTGCTATCTAGTGAAGAGAGAGACAAATAGACAGACAGAAATCCATTACAGTTTAATTTAATTAATGTAGATTTTGAGATGATGTTTATCTATAAATCTTCTCCTGAACCAACAGATTCAAAATATAAAGTTTGGTTAAAATACATTCAGGCATTTTTCTGTGATGCGGCAACAAACATTTTGACTGATACAGTTTTATTTATATAGATTCATGGGATATAATTCCACAAATGCATAAATAATCACTAACGTTTTTTGACTTAAGTAGATAAATTTACTGAATCTTTTTATAATTAATATAAATAAGATATAATAAAGTTTTACTATATTATTCTGAAACTGAAAATTACTTCACTCTCAGAAAGACATGAGCAACTTTTGCACCTCTGTGTGAATAATGCTAGACTACTAGACTTTCAAATATAATTTCATTGAAAAATATAGTTTTTATTTTATGCTAGGAAAGAATATTTAAAAATTTTCTTTCATATGCAATATGATATAAACTTTCATTATTTCTGTATTTCATATTATATGCTTTCAATGCTTCATTACACTTCTAACAAGAAAACAACCTTCAGCTTCCTGTTAAAATAACTGAAGTAGCTGTGAATTCAGATGTAGACACAGCATCCAAATTTTCTGCTGAATTATAGAAAATAAATGTGACAGCTGTCAAACTTTTAACACAACTAGATTTGTGGACCATCTAAAACTCTTTTAGCAAAAAATTAAGAATCACAATCATGTTATAAAGCATCCAAACATCACTTAACTCTTTCACTTTATGACAATGCTAAGAGAGATTTAAAGCCATTAGTTAGTTATTCCTAGAGTCTCTGTCAATCATTTAAGAGAGAGTGGGTCATCTAAACTATGGATAAAATCCTATTTTTATCTGGCAGTGAAAGCTTACTGCAAGATAAAATTATCATTCAAAGTGCTTTTGCTACTTCATAATGTTCCTGGCCATCTTACTCATTCAATGAGTTGTTTGATATTGTGCAGGCTGTCTTTTTACTGCCAAATATGATTTCTTTTATTATTGGACCAGGGTACAATTTCAATTTTCAAGGCCTATTTTATTTAAAAGAACTTTTTCACAAGCAATTGAAACTATGATGAGAAGGTGTTTTTATTATTATTCAAGTATCTTGTAAAAAATATTAACATTCATGACCTGTGAGAAATAATATCCAGCTACATGAAAGCTGTTTGGAAGCAGTTTTTGCCAGATTTAGAAACCAATATAAATGTAAATTAATATATTAATTTATTATTGTTACAAAGTATATAAAATTTCTAAACAGTTTTCTCTCTTCTTATCTTTTAAATCAGTATTTTTTAATCTTTTTTATCTCATGGCACACTTAAACCTATAATTAAATTTTGGCAGAAAAAAATCATGTGAGTTAAAGTTATGTTTGTAAATATTCTATTGCCATATTACTTGCTACTTAACCTAATTCTTTTTGTCTATATTTATTTATAAAGAAAAGACACTGTGACTATTAGGTCTTTTTCAAGTGTCTACAGACAAAAAGAAAAACAAGAAAAAATCAACAAATATTAAGCCAAAACAAATTATTACAAAGTCAATTAACAAAGTCACTTAACAGAGTTTGAATTAAATAAAATAGTATTGTTGTTCCAAAGCAGATTACAACAATAGTTATTTATTAACAAAGTTCCAAGGATAAATTTTTGATTAAATCAAATTTTCGACCATACAAATAATTTAGGTCAGTTTAAAAAAGGATNATATGAATTTTTTTAGAGGTTTTAATTTTGACATGTACACTAATTGTTTTTTGGGCTTCTCTCAAAAATAATTTATTTAATAACCTTCAAAAATTTTTGTGGCACCTGGTTGAAAATCACTGTTTTAGATATTAAAGAGGATAGTACATTTTAAAAAATTTTTAATGAAATTTTATTTAATTTCAAATTAAAATCTAATTTAAGAAATTTTCAGTTCATGTTCAGGTTTAATTGCTGCTACCCTTGGTACTCCAGCTGATGTCATAAAAACAAGAATAATGAATCAGCACACAGATGCAAATGGAAGGTAAGAAGTATAATTCAGAAAATTTTAGATCATTAATATAGATTGTTTCCAAAATAAAATTCATATACTATATAAGCTATTGTAGACATTTTGTTTTCAAAGCATTACAAAATTCAAATATTTGACTATGGCATTCATTCATTGGCTTCATATAAATAAAAAAAATCAACTATTATATATTGTTAACTGCAAAGTTAGTGATTCCTCACACTCTAAATGTAATTTGTTTCAGGAGACTGTTGAAACTCTGAATTGTTCAAAATCCAAATTAATTTTTCCCATTAGAATTAATGGAATGTGAATTAATTCATTCTTAGACTCTAAACAACAACCGTTTTAATAAACTTAAACACATAATTTAAGGTAAAAATAACACAATTAAACAATCTAAGAAAAGTTTGATATATCAGTATAGTTTTAAAATTTAAAGTTTTCAATACATGTATATTTACAAGGCAGCTGCTGTTAAAATATTTAAAAAGTATTAATAAAATGTTTTTTGATTTAATAAAAAGAAAATGAAATAAAGCAAAATATCAGCCAATACTTAACAGACTATCACATGAAATAATTGTGATTTTCTTTCAATAATAATCAATCAATCAATCAATCTTTATTTGGTATAACGAGTGTTATTACAAAGGGGTTTAAAAAATTTGTTATTTTAAGTTTGATACATGAACAAAGAAATTATATAATTTATACAAAGTTAGCATTGCAAAACTATTGCCAAATAAAATTTGATAACAAAAATCAGATGGCAGTATAGTAACTCAAACATCCAAAAGAATATTGCAAGATTTAAGAAGGTGTTTTCTCATATCCATTGCTGTTGTTCCACAAAAAGAACATTCAGAGTCACATAAGACATTAATTATTTTACCATTTAGGTTTATCGAAAATCTATTTAGTCTAAATTGTGCAGCAAACTATTTTATTTTATAACTCAAATTAGACAGTAAATAAGGTGCTGGACTCCACATTCCATTAAGAAAAAGTTCACTGTTCAAACCTCTTTCACTCAAATGATGAACATCTTTTAGCCAATGTAAGTCTCTTAGTCATTGATCACAATCCAAAAAGAACAAAGTTTCACTTAAATACATATAACTAGAGGACAATCCAATATTATTTAGTAATCCTTTAGCAATAGCAGGCCATNGGTAGTATTTATCTCAGATATTTTTGGCAGCTTTACTGACAGAGTCGCCTCATTTTCCTCTTTCGTAGTATTTTCAACTTGAGATAATGCAGCTCCATGTTCAGCCATTTTAGTGTTACCTTCTGATGATACAACATAACTGTCATCAATTTGAACAAAGTCATCAAATGTAACATGTTGATTACTTCTGTCCAGTCACCAATAAAGTTGTCATTAGTGCTTTCATAATTTTCGTTAAATCCATTTTAAACTGAAAAGCCAGTTTTTTTAACAACTTTTAATAGTAGCTGGTTCAATGCTGTTCCAAACTGAATCACAATTGCTGCATGGCCTGCAAAATGTTCCATTTTACTAATGCCAGTTTATTTTCATCTTCCATTTGATGAATCATATGACGAACAAGCTGCCATCTGTAATGGTTCTTCACCAAGGTGATCACATCTTTATCCATTGGTTGGAGTTTGCTGGTACAATTTGGCAGAAGGAAGATCACTTCAATATTTTTCAGTTTCAAATCATCTATTTTATGGACTTTGCAACAGTCAATGAACAGCAGAATTCTTCTGTCTGTAGTAACCATTTTAGAATCACATGCTAATAGCCATTCCCTAAAAAGTCAGGCTCTCATCCATGATTATTATTTCTCTATGTACACGGCAGATGCTTTACATTTTTGAAGCATTTTGACTTTGAATATTTGTTTATCACAAGTGGTGAGTTTTTCAGATCCCATCACTGTTTACACAAAAACATACAGTTAAGCATTCTTTGCTGCACTTTCCATTATGGCAAGTTTCCTCTTTAATTGGAAATGTTCTATCAGGGAGCATATTGAAAATGGTCTTTCCCCATCAACATTGAAAATGTTTCTTGCTTCATAACTCTGTGTTAATTCTGATAGTTTCAAAATCCAATCGTTTTCTGTTTCAGGGTCCACTCCATCTGCCTCCCGATCTGTCTTTAGTGACATCAGATTACATCTCAAACTGTCATAACCATCCGACACCTTGAAATAATTCATTCCTAATTTTTCTGCTTCTTCCTGTGCCTTTTCTTGAATCATTAGACCATTGGCAGGAATAGAATTGTTTCTTGTTTCCATCAACTAATCAAAAAGTTTTCTGTCAAGCTCATTGCTTGTGCATGGTCATCTAAGTTGATGTGGTCATATTAACATTGCATTTTTTTTTTTTTACATTGTGAAAATATCATTGAGAGGCTTGATTTTGGAATGCCATAATTTAATGTAAAACAAGTTTCCCTGTATCAACCACTTTCAAAATTTGCAGCTTCTGCACAACAAAGTTGTTTTTGTTTGTTATCTGTCACTGTACCTAAGATCTAAGATATTATAAAACAGAAAACCCTCAAAACTGAATGCATCAAAATTTCACAATTCAAATTTACGAATTGGTTAAAATTGAGAGGCTTTTCCATACACAGCAAATCAATACAGTACTTATCAGTGGATAAATAGTGTTGGGATGGTGATCACTACAGTACAGTACTTCAAAATTTAGTGGAATGAATGTGCAATTTGATAAAGAAATATAAATTGTTCTCTCTGTAAACAAAAACTGGTCTTTAATCACCATCAATCAAGTGTTTTGAATGCCAAAATGGAGGACAACATGTGAAGTAGGGATTACACAGTTGGTATTGAGAATATTGAACATATGATGGTGTTTGTCTCATGCAACTAAATGCAAAAGTGNAAGAAATATTTTTGTCTATCTGCTTTTTTTGATGTTTGGATGAGCATCTCTAATGTATTAAGGGCAGTATTTATCTCAGATATTTTTGGCAACTTTACTGGCAGAGCTGCCTCATTTTCCTCTTCCGTAGTATTTTCAACTTGAGATAATGCAGCTCCATCAAAATTTAGTGGAATGAATGTGCAATTTGATAAAGAAATATAAATTGTCCTCTCTGTAAACAAAAACTGGTCTTTAATCACCATCGATCAAGTGTTTTGAATGCCAAAATGGAGGACAACACGTAAAGTAGAGATTGCACAGTTGGTATTGAGGATATTGAACTTATGATGGTGTTTGTCTCATGCAACTAAATGCAAAAGTGGGGATACGAGAGTAGTAATACACTGAAATGTGTAATTAGTAAAATAAAAGTTGTTTGATAAATCTTTTCCCATACTTGGTTGATTTGCTAATTAGGACAATATTCCATTGAATCAATAAAAAGTACTTTAAAGAGGATGAAAAATACATATAAGTAAATAAATAGAAAATGGTCAGGACCTGAAGAAAAGTTTGTTAATTAAGTTGGTTTGTTATATAGGATGTTCATTATTAGTACTTTTCATGTAGTATTGAGTCGTCATCAATTAGTAGTTTGACTATAAGTTTCTTTTACAAAGCATATTGTTATTGATGAAACTAATAAATTTTGTTTAAAATATTTTTCACTTATGCAAATTTTAATAAATATTTTTTAATTAGTCATAATTTTTACTTCTTTAGGTCTTTTAAATATAATACAATGTGCCAGAAGCAAAAAAGTATTGTGTAATATTGTTAGCAAAACACAGTAATTGGAAGTTGATTGATATTACAAACATTTAATTTATAAAACTATAATTTATATTTTCCTATTTTAGCTTATAAAATTCAAATTTATTCTTAAAAAATGAATTTATTTCTTATTCCAATTGATTATTTGATTTTATATTTTCTTTTCATAAAATTGCTTTTAAATATTTGATATTTGTATAGATTAGAATATATTTCTAACGTTTATTCATTTTGCAGAGTGCGGACTACTTGGCATGCCTTCAGTAAGATTGTTGCAGAGGGGGGGATCAAAGGGCTGTGGAAGGGTTGGGTGCCAAATGTACAGAGGGCAGCTCTAGTCAACTTGGGAGGTATGCCAGCAGCACTCTCTTCTTAAGAATTAGAAATGAATGAATGTTGATTTATCATTTGTTGATTGAATCATAATTATATATTTTACTAGAAATGAAATAGATAATTATTTTTTACTAATGTTTGTTTTGATTTCAGAACTAACAACATATGATACAAGTAAGCATTTAATTTTGAAGCATACAACACTAAAAGATAATTATGTAACACACACATTAGCTAGGTATGTATATTTTGTTTTATTTTTTGTAAGAAATTTATGCATATATAATTTTAGCATTTATCTGTATGTCAAGCTGTAATCTATCTTTTTCAATGATCACAATGTTGTGTGTCTGAGATTAAACTATGATTCATTATCTATGGCAAAAGTGACACAATACATCTAATACAAATATACACAACCGAAATCCTATATATTAAGCAAATATACACTCACAACTGCCCACTTATATCCAAATTTAGGTCGATCATTTATGGCAGTTGTGTGTATATACATCTAATATGTTTTTAGAGTGTGCATACAAATAATGATTTACAGAAATAAAGACCAATTTTACCATATAAAAATATATTAAAACTAGCTGTGTTACCCGTCATTGACGGGCGATACTTATTTCATGAAATTATATTTACTTACCTAAAGAGTATATCTGCAGAGAATTGTTTGTTACAGATTCATAATATTCCTATTAAAGATGTGGAATATTTTCTAGATAAACTTATTGAATAATCTCCTAATATACAATGTTTCATTTTTTATTATCAGGGGTGCAAACGAACAGAGATTTGCAGCTACTAACATGTTAGCATGTAACATAGAGTTGGCCATGTGAAAAGCAACTGCATCTGAGGTCAAGTGCTGCAACTCTCAGTCTTTGGCCTTGTGACATGTTAATGGTCATTGTAAAGCATAGACTGATTGGAAATTGTAGGCGTTTAAATTCGAATGAGTA